TTCAGCAAACTCCCAAAGGATATGGCTTTATGTGTCCACGATGAAGGGCACCATTATAGCATTAACCAAGACTTACAAAAAACTAGTTTGAAGTTACGTATACAGTGCCGAAAGCACATCGAGTATTGGATTTGCATAAAGTTCAACGTTACAAAAGGGTAGTAAGGAGAAAAGTTTAGTACAGGAAAAAAGTCGATGATCGTGAATAAGTTGGCTTTTATAAATGTAAAGTATCCAACCTGAATGTAATTTGACAGGGATATTTACTCAAGTATTGCCTTTCTGATTGTAAGTTAAAATATATATATTGTTGATTTTAATGGACTTCCAGAGATACAGAAGTCAACTTCTTGGATTTTTTCCTTCGATTTACTTAGTCTTCCCTTCCTTTCTGAAAGTTGAAGTATACTAGGTGGCTGTTTTTCTATGAAGAGCAATTCTTACATGGCTATAGAGGAAGTCTGGGGTTTTTGTGGCTCCATCCTTCAACACCTTTGTCCATTCAGTGAATTTTCCCAGTCCTTCATCAACACTAAGAGAACTAAGAAGGTGAGTATAGTTGGGAAGCATGGGGTTAAAGGGAAAGAGGGGATTCAAAGACTATCAAAGTCATTGTCAGCGGTGCTTACACGTTAAACACTGTTAGTGCTGTGACGGACAGGAGCATCATCTGTAGCTTGAAGGAGCAGAGTTAGAGTTAGATGAATTTTGGTGGAGGGCAGGAGAAATATACATTTTAAACTAAATAAAATTTTAAAAAACCATTGAAACCGACACTAGTTTCTTGATTTTTGATAGAAGAGGTAAAATTTGAGTAAATAACACAAATTTGACAGGTTTTGTCAGCATATATGGCATTACTGCATATCTACAGACTGGGAAATGCTCAACTCAATGAAAACTCTTAGAACACAAGTTTATGACCTTCATTGGAAAGGCATGCACCTTGAAAGCCTTTTAAGTTAAAAGAAGACCTCTGCTTATGCTTATATGTTATTTGAGTGTACAATAAGCGAATTTACATGATGTTATCTGATATCAGCACATATATATTTCTGTGGCTGGGCGAGAGGGCGGAAGTTTTACATTTCATCAAACAGTATGCCAACTGGGGATTTATCTCTTTTGTATTTTGTATTCCTGTTCTTGGTGTTTTGTTAGTTATTTGAGGCTTGAGCTGATGCTGACATCTAGCTGTTCTTCTTTTTCCAAGCTCACATAGGGCTGGAATTAGATGTAGGTATGCAGGTGCTGGCATAAAAGAGAACGTCAATCCTGGCACTATTGATGTTGTGGCTGATGTCAAGACTGAGCGAGTATGACTAACAACTTCTTCTTTGTCTCAGATGAAGTTTCTTACAACTCTGTTTCCTTTTATCAAGTTTATCAATTGTGCATTCTATTATACCAGATTGTAGTATTAGGAGGTAGCGGTTTTGTTGGTTCTGCAATATGCAAAGCTGCTGTATCCAAGGGTATAGAGGTCATAAGTCTTAGCAGGTGTAAGTTTATCCAAAATTTGGCAATTTGATTCAATTTCTTTTACTCGTTCATTTACTCAATTTCTGCATTAAATTGCATGACTTTTGGGTTTTCTTAATCAATTTGTTCTTCTCTTGGATACCATGGACTATCATGTACTGGATTTTGAAAAAGAAAAAACAACATTTTGCAGGTCAGGACGCCCTTCTTACACAGGGTCATGGGTAGATCAGGTCACATGGAAGTCAGGCAGGTTCATAACTCTGTCATACCTCATCGAGGCTTTCCATTTTGTGGCTTATGTTTTTGTAACTTGACTGGAAGTATCATGCTCAAAAGGGTTCCAAATTTACTGGCCATTTTATGCAGTTCGTAGCATTTAGCCTTACCTTTACCTTGGCTAGTATAGCCTTTGGTTCTGTGCTCCCCTAATATACCTTCTCATGGTATTGGAAAGAACTCAAAACTGGGAATTTTGTAGTACCATCGGACTCCTGTAAATTGACTGCTACTTTTATCGGATGATTTGCTCCAGATGATGTAATAACTCAAGCTTATACTCCTTACAGATTGTGTATGTATGCTTGCTGCATGTATTTCTTGGATTATCTTTGTTCATAGGAAATGGAAACCAAGAATAGGCATCCTCTGCAGAATATGTGGTATGGAGCCAAGAACCCCTTGACTGTGTAAATCTGTAGAAAAAGGATGTCTGCACATATAGGAATGCCCATTGTGTTTCTGGTCCCACTGCCTTGGGAATTTAGACTAAAGTACAAATTTTCATGATGTTATGGAACATGACAACCTACTTTGTCAATGCAATGCAACTTTTTATGACTCTGGGCTTCATTCCGTGCTACAGTCAATGGGCAAGGAAAAATAGGCGAAACTAGTTATTCAGCTAAAGCACGGATGCTTTATGACATGAACTTGAAACTTTTCCACTGTTAACTTTAAATGCAGATCTCTCTTGGGATTTTGGGTTTTAATTTTTCTCTGGAGGCCTTATATCAGCTCTATGACCTGTACTTTCACCCACATGGGCAGATTGTTTTAGTCATTCTTCTTCCTGCAGGGGATGTTTTTTACGTTAACTGGGATGAAGTGCTTGTTGGGGCCACTACAGTTGTTTCAACTCTTGGTGGCTTTGGCAGTGAGGAACAAATGCTAAGAATTAATGGCGAGGCTAATGTCGTGGCAGTTAATGCTGCTAAAGATTTTGGTAAGACTTGTGAATCGTTTTGCTTATGAGTTTGCAATCGTAATGTAAATGGATTGAATTTCTCATTTAACGCTCTCTCTTTCAAATTTAGCTAAGTATTATGTTTGTCATTCTTTCTGTTGATATTAATAATCAAAACTCTATCAATGCTAATTTTATTGCAGTTATTTGTCATAAATACTTCAGTTTTAAACTACTTACTGCTGCCCAGATTAGTCGAAAACTAGTTATCAACTGCAAGAGGCTTTAGGTATCATACTGGCAAATATGCAATGCATTGTCAACAACGTCACATCAAAAAACCAAGATTGATCCCAAACCTTTGCATTTGTATCATCTGCCAGCAATGCTAGTATTGCTTGTGTTATGTCAGCACATGCTGATTTATTACTAATGTTTGAGTATGTTGATGATAAACAAAGATAAAAACTTCAGAAAGTAGTCACTAACATCTTTCCAGAAAAATTGTATGTAACACAAAATAAAGTTTGGTCAGGTTAGGTTCAACTCAGTGAGATGTCACAAACCTTGCACATGCATGGCCCATAAAGTGATAAAAATAAGTTCACGTTATGTGTCAGGTGGCATCCCTTAGAGCCTACAGATGGAAGAATTTACTTCTTTCTAAGAACTGGAGCTTTTGTACATGTCATACTTAGTCAATTTAAGACGGTATCTGCACTATGTAAATCATACAGCATTGATTTGTTAAGAGAAGGTTGTATATTTATGATTGCAAGCATCAATTTTGGCTGGACCTTAGTGAATACGAGTGAGGATGTTTACAGTTACGATGAGGATTATTTGGCCTAGCATCATCTTTTTCATCCTAAGAAACTAAATGTATTCACATACACAGCCGGGATTGTAATGAGTCTTGGAAAGCTAAAGTATAAGATTTTCTCTTTCATGCTTGCTTGCATGATGCTCCACAGATTGTTGCCAAATGCCTGTTTATTGTGTATGTCAATTGGTGTTACAACCATAAGACATACGAAGCACATGTTGAGGAAACCAAAAAACCGCAAATATGAAGGAAAAATCAAACAATGCGCTGTATGAAGACATTATCTATTTTGACTGAAAACCTAATGGGGTGAAACCTCAAAAAAATTGATATCACCTATGCCAACGAGCCCTCTCGATGTTTGTCATTCGTATGTTCTAGAAAAAATATATATGTGTTACATGCAAGTGTCTGTCTTCAGCTAATTTATAATGGAACATGATTTGGACGGTTTTCTCCCATTTGCAACAACGATTCTTCCTTTCCTCTGTCAATTGCAGGGATCTCTAAGTTCATCTTAATATCGGTGCATGATTATAATCTGCCATCCTTCCTACTTAATTCGGGATACTTCACTGGAAAGAGGAAAGCAGAGTCTGAGGTTCTCTCAAAGTATCCAAACTCAGGTACTTCTATCCACCCCTTCTTCGTTTTCGAAACTCAGATACTTCTCCGTCACATTAGTCCAAGCATCAACAACTTGACAAAAATAATATAGCCAGCAGAATGTGTTCCAAGAAATGGTATTCATTATCTTAGATTTGAGTGCAACAGGTGTTGTGTTGAGACCTGCTTTCATCTATGGAAAGAGGAAGGTTGATGGCTTTGAGATACCTCTAGATGTTATAGGGGAACCACTTGACAGATTTCTGAGTGCTACGGAAAACTTTATTAAACCTTTGAGCTCTCTGCCTGGCTCTGATTTGCTCTTGGCTCCACCAGTCAGTGTAGACGATGTCGCCTATGCAGTGATAAATGCTATCGGAGATGACGGCTTTTTTGGAGTATTCACTATTGAGCAAATAAAGGAAGCAGCGGCTGCAATTAGAAGCTGAAAAACATCCTGATACATGATTCACCATACTTCCGACAACCCTTGAATTGCTTCAATTCAAGTAATATGTTACTGTTTCTTTAAGCAAACAACGTTTGTTACTTTTGTCTTCTACGCTTAGAGAGAATCATATGTTAGCAAAAGAATCGCGACATTTTCTTTTCTAATCACTGCTGGATCAGACATTCAGCTGAATCAAATATAGCACCAACAGTTACAATTTCTGCGCTTCTGGCCTGAGTTCTCTCATTTTTAAGTCGAACTTTTTAACTTCTAAGAGAGAATTCCAAGGCATGACATTGGTGCTGGCAGTAGGTTCAGCCATTTAAATGCCTGTCAGAATAAAGTCTCAGATCAGCATTAACTGAAAGAGAAAGATTTTGTACGTGAGATCCAGCTCGTCAAGCTTGGCTGGCAACGTTAGATTTTGGCTTGTGGCATCAAATTACTGCCGACGGAAAGTTGCTTGGTTCATTATCTTCGCTTCCAGATTCGCAATTGTAGAAGACAATTTTTCTACCTACCGAATATTAGCTCTCTTATAAGATGCCAATGGCCAATATTGCGACTTTACAAGGATCCGTTGATACTTCCTCAAATATCCCCTGGTACAGAGAAGAAACTACACACATAGCTGTCTAACAAAGGAGTCCAGAGTTTTGAGACGAGCTTGCATTGCTGCCTGGTCATGGCATGGGTACCATAATCCCACTTCTCGTTTGCCATTAGATGTTAATAGAGCAAGATCTTCATTGCACACATGACGGATACAAGTTCTTGAAGAATCAAATTTTCTTTGCTGAAACATGCGAGGCTTAGTCATGTCCGTGCCTAGCAGAAGACTGCTCGGTAAGATACCTGGATCACAATGTGGAAGTGTTATTAGATCGAAGACATCAAATTTATCATGAACTGAAATAACAACATTACAACAGATAATATTTGGAAAAAAAAAAATGGGCTAGCAATACAGAACTCAACCGTGGAAGATAAACCCTCAGAGGGAAGGGATGATTAGTATCAACACGTAATGGGAGTATTTACATAGATATTTCTTAATCAATTTAAAGAAATATTGGGCTTTTGCAATTTCCAAAATTATAGAAGTCGATATCTTGAAAATCAACTTCAACCATAACAACTTTGAAGTCGATAATCAGAACTTTGACTTTTAAGAGTGAAACCACCAATAATCCTCACTATATGATCTCTCCCTCATCATGCTCCTTTTAATACTTCAATGGCAATCCCCGGCAAAACCACCAACACCGCTCAGAGAGACCCCCCAACTCCTCCCTTCAAAATGCGGCAGCAACTAACATTTCTTCTGTGACAGCAACTACCATTGCTACCGCGGCAGCAACTCACGTTTGTTCACCCTCAAGCCCCTCTGCACTTGAAGAGAATGAAAGAACACTCCCATAATCCCACTGATTTGGATGGAGGTTTCTAGAAAAAGTTCAAATATATAATGAAGATACTCAACTATGTGGGTTGCATTTAAATTGCTGATGATTTAAGGCATACAATGAATGTAATTATTTAATCTTGCAGTTGGTTGACCACAACTTCAGGTTAGAAAGGTTAAAATATTTTACTTCATCATCTGGGCAACTGGATGTCATTTGTGTTGGAGTTCAGCTTTTTAAGCGGTTAAAATATTTTACTTCATGTTATTTGCATGTGTTGTTCGTGTTTGGATCTTTAATCATAAAATGGTGTCAGGGAGGCTTTAGACTATGTCTGTGCATCTTAAACTGGTTGTTGTTGGAGGAGATAGATGCTGAAGGAAAATGGTTGATGTCCAAGACATAGATGCTGGGAGGAAGGGAAGAGAGAGAGAGAGAGGAGGAGGAGAAGTCAAATTAAAAAGCACAAAGCAGGAATGAGAGGCAAAACAGTGAACAACGTGGTTATTTCCTTTAAGTCGACTTCCATTGTTTTGGAAGGCAAAATAAAGGTGCAATAATTTTTGAAATTTGATTAAAAAAAATAAAAACTACAATTTCATGGAAGAAACCCAAAGGAGTTTAGATGCAGATTTCAGATTGTAGTCTCAAGTGTTACCCTCAAAGAGCCAGACCCAACATGAGACAAAGCAGATAAGCTAGTCATGTACATACCTTGGGAACCAAGTCGTAAGTTCCAGACATACATCTAAAAAATGTTTTAACAGATTTTATCGCCTGCTGATAAGCCTCTTGGGCAGATATTGTAATCACTTAGCACAGAGTTATCAAGTTCCATTTTTGTGCTATTCCGGTAATGAGCACTATTTCCTATGGGATTTTGTCGAGGTTACCCCAACATGAAGTTACCTTTGTATGTTATTTTTTTTCGCTGAGTGCTACTTCCAAGTGAACTAGACCACCACAAGAGCTTACTTCAAACCAAAACAAGAATATAATTTGCCACAATTGATTTTAAGTGCCAATATCAGGTTTAGAATTATTTCTCTCTGAATGCAGCATAATTTACGGTATCGAAACAGGAGACTCTCCCATACTTACTTGCCAGTGTAGAAACCAGCAGAATACCAAGCATTCAAAACAACAGTAAGATCTGTTTCCGAACTGGTACTTTTCTCCAAATGACACAAATTTTTCTGTGACTGTTTCTCTTTCCCTGCAATTCAATTACAAAAGTAGAGGAGGCAGTAATGAGTAAAGTCCTCAGATGTAGATCCAAAATATGATTGTTTCACCATATTATGGCACCAACATACTAAATAATTGAATAACATAAATCCGCAAGGTGCAGGCATAGCAACCTACGTATATGTCAAACTTGCAAATATTAAAACACAGTAGTCAAATACATAGGATAATTAAATCTTAGACAACTATCACAAGATGAAGAATTTTGCACCAATAAGAGATGTAGTGTTATGTTGTTATACTTTGAAGTCCGGTAAAAATTCTCTTAGAAGAAACAAACGTTCTGTTCTACAGATTAAGGATCAGTACATTGGTCACTGTAAAATCTTTTCTCCCAGTAAATTTATCAGTGAATACAAATGTCGGAAAAGGTTACTTTATAGCACTAATTATAAAGCAATAATTCAAGCTCAAAACTGCCTAACAATTAAAGATAAAAGCCCAAAAACTTTTCACATCGTAATCTCCAAAGAGTAGAAAAGGAAAAGAATTATGAAAAATCTAGTGTGCTGAATAGACGAACAATATTTAGTTCTGACATTGCGGTTTGCTAATGTCCAAAAAGTCTGCCAGTCATCGTAAAACTACTTGATAATGTCAATTTGTGTAATAACTTATTACAAGAAAAGCTAAACCAAATGCAATGTTTATTATGATTTGGCAATATGCATCAGTAAGGGTTTGACTATTGCGAGAGTAAATAGCAATCAGTTGTTCAATAAGGCAACTACAACAATCACTTCTGTGTTTATTAAGTCATATGCAGAAATTTGATTCATCATCGAACATACCATGACATGATAGCTAAAAGCTATTAATCAAATCTAAATGCTGTAATACAGTAGTTCAACTAGACGCTCCAAAATCAGCCTAATCAGCAAATATCTGATACAGAAGCAAGACGAAGATCCACAGCCTGCAAAAATTTTGAAGAATCCCATTGCCTCCTTTTTGTTGATTTTATCTTTAGGCTTTGTGGAGTATTTGTATTTCTACAATATGTAAGTATCAAGTTACCACCAATTAAATAGAGATGATGTACTGGTATATTCAGTAGTACTTTTTAGAACCATCAGTCCTTCGTTTCCCCCTTGTCACAACCCAGTGGACCCATCAGGAGCAGAGCAACAATGCTCATTAGATTACTAAACACAGCAGATTTGACAATTGAGGACATTCCTGATACATGCCATGTTAACTACAAGAACATTTGAGTTATATTTCTCTAACATTTATGTCATGGTGATGCAGGTTTGTGCCCAAAGAGGGTGGTATATACATTGTTTGAGGTTATAAGCAAGAAAGCCATCTTTACCTTCATTTACAGAAGCATCACAATTAGCGCAAGCTTGTTCCTTCAAGGAAGACAGTGCTTGTTCTGCAGCAAACATTGCTGTTTTAACAGAATCAGTTTCTCCTGGAGATGTTAAGTTTTTAGTAGTAGCACCTTTTGCAGAAGCATTGCAAGAGTTTCCAGCACAAGCTCCACCAGAGAAATAACAAGGTACTGAAGTGCATGGAGCTACCCAACTTTGACACCCATAAGGACAGAAAGAACTTGGAACTGTTGGATAAGCTTGGGAAGTAGAGGTTTCAGGCTCTTGAGACACGGAAGCAGTTAAACCAGAATCATAATTCCAATAACCAAACTGGTTAAGTTGCTGCAGAATCTTTTGCCTCTGATCCTCAAGCTCATAATATTTGTTTACCAACTGATTGTAGTGTTCAGTAGTCTGCAAGTTTAGATAACCCACAGGCTCTTGATGGATGCCTTGCCCAGTAGATGAAACTACATGGTCTTCAGGAGCTTCTGATTCCAAAAAAGATGATTCTTTGACAGTTGGCACATTACCATTTTCTTCTGTTTCAGCAGCGCTGTTTGATGGAACCTTGTTGTCATCACTTATCTCATCAACTCTTCATCAACAAAGAAGAAGAAATCAGACTTATGATGAAGATTATCAGCCCAACAATTACAAATACATTGGAGTTCTTCCACAAAACATGAAAAATATCAACAATCAAGCACCATACAGACACCCAAAAAAAGATTGGCTCAACAATTATAGTTGCCAAACTCCTGTCACTACAGTTTTTATTTCCCTATCACACATTACGAGTATATGCAAATAACTCTTCCTAAATGAAATTCATTTTGGTCCAGTCTTGGTTCATGATACAAAGTGTGAAGAAGCCGTCCAATTCTCATTCACGTTAATTGTTAAAACTCCAACTATTTTCTCCCCTTTATGAATCTTTGACCAGACAGAAGAAACCCTCCCCCATCCCGAACACACACACAACACCACCCACACGCTGAGAGTTGATTATACTACTTTGAAGCGCTATAACTGCTCCAAAATGCAATTTACTGAACCAACATTTACAGACTTCTGTTTTTTAATTTTTCTTCTGCGTCACAACAAGGATTTCAATACATCTTTAGATCACAAAAATCAAACACATGCTGTCCCAATATTCAACCATCAACCGAAGACTCGCAAGAAAGAAACAACTCGACAATATTTGAACTGTCTAGCTGTCAAGTTATAAAATTCTCAACGAAATATCAACTAGTAATGAGCTGGATAATCAGACATTCCTCCTAATTCTAGTACTGCGTTCTACACAGGCCACCAAGTTTCCCTAACCCCTAGACAAAATAAACGAAAAATGAGACAAATAAGAGTAAGAAAAGGGATTGCTTTCCAGTTAGTTATGAACACACCTTCCAGCATGTTCTTGACCATCAGCTGAGCTGACTTGGCTTCCTTGAATATGCATTTTCTGGAAATCATCAAGATTGAAAGAAACATGAGCATGAATATATGATTATGATAAATCAACATATCTGTCTCAAAAACAACCACGGAACCACCTAATGAAAATGAAGTATTTCAGTACACTATCGAAAACAAAAGTTAAAGCTCCTTGACTCCTTTCTTTTCTTTTACTATTGGTATAGTTATCCAAAAAGACAACAAAAAAAACTGAGTTCCAAAAGACAAAAAAAAGAATATTGGTGCAGAAAGAACAAAACCCAGAAAGGTTTAAAGGAGGAAGAGGAGTTGACATACCTTGTACTTGGAGATGGCATCATTGAAGGCGTTAATCAGGGCAGAATCGTCCCACAGTTCATCTTGCTTATTTTTCCTCATCTTGATTACCTTTTTTTTTTTTTTTTTTTTTTTCAAATAGAGAGTTATCAAGCCAGTTTATTACAGTTGCAGAATCTCTCTGTTTCCAGTTCCAACCCGAGAAATAGGGGTTTTTTGGTGGAACGTTTATGCCAATCCGACCCTCTAAAGTATGTAAAAATCAAATTTTGGCCCTCTAAATTAGAAACGTTCTGATTTTATCCAAATTGAAACAATTGTTCTAATTTGGTCCTTCCATCCAACTTCATTAGGGATGGCAATTGAGGCGGGTACTTGCGGACTAATGGAGTGGGGGTTGGGGTGGAGGGGGAGGAACGGGGTGGGAGGCAGGGGAGTGTATATATATATATATATATATATATATATATAATATTTAATTTAATTAATTATAAACTTATAATAATGATATCATTAGTTATAAGTATTATATAATGTATATTAATATATGTAATATAATATAATTGATATTGTCAATTATACTAATAATTATACATGTCTATTAATAGAAATTATTAATTAGTTATACTAAATTAACTAATACATTTATACTAAATTCCTAATTACACTTAACACAATAATACTTTTTTCTCAAAAAATACAATAATAACTTAGTGATTGTATTTATTTCAAAAGTGAAACCTTAATTACCTTAGTTGTATTTGTTTCATCATGTTGGATTGTATTCAAATAGTTTTTGTTTGATTATTTTTATGGATTTCAATTGTAAAATTACAATGGATAATGACTTGGTGATGTGTTGATATTTTAGTACTTAATTATTTGCTAAAATTTGACTACAATTAAATTATATGAAAAATTTTTATAAATCCTGTAGGTGCCCCGCGTAGGGGGCTAGGGAGAGGTCCCTCACCTCGTTGCCATTCCTAAACGTCATCCAAATTTTGATATTTGATGGGTCAGTCAGAGGCATAAATGCATATTTTAAAATATGGATAGAGTTCGATTGAAGAACCACAATTTATACTCCTTCATCTCATTTTGATAGTATTGGTTTTTTTTCACACAATTTAAAAAAAATTAATTAACTTTGTTGAAGAGTAAATTTAGCTTACTAGTTTCATAAAATACTCTTACATTAGTATTAGAAGTATGACTAATAACTATACCTATACATTAATTACAACAATAACACAATGGAAAGTTGCACCATTCAAGGAATAAATCCAAACAATTAAAGAATAAAGTAAATTATAACTGATAATAAAGTATATTAAATAAGGGTATTTTTAGAGAAATTACAAATTAATTATATTTGAAAAGTGAACTATAATTTGGAACGGATGAAAAAGGAAAATAAAACTATCAAAGTCGAATGGAAGGATTTTTTTCTCTCTCAGTTTAAAGATTTAAATTTTGGTTTTCAACCACTTTTTAATAGCAGTAAGTGACACTAATCCTAAAAAAGTTTATACTTAACTCTTAAATTTTTAATCCAAAATTTTTAGTATAGACAGTAGAATACCAAGTTAGGTCTATCTATCTTTCAGCCCAATTTTGCACGTATAACCTATTTATTTTGCATGTTTTTGTAAACTAATAATTGTGTTTGTAATTTGGTGAATATGCCATAAGGGAAAATCGTTCAAAACGTCATTTACATTTTACAAAATAACTTTTTTCGTCCCTCACTTTTAAAAGTGTAATTTTACGTCCCTTACAAAGTTACATTGGTCATATTTGATCTCTATCTAGGTTTCCGACTAATTTTTTATTGGAATCCACCACGTGCCTTGCATGTGATCATTTTTTAAGAGCAAAATTGTCAAATCAAATTTTACATAATTCGATTCATAGTCCCTTATATTTTACAAAATGAATTTTTTCATGCTTCACATTTTTCAAATTGGATTTTTTCATCCCTATTGATCTTGTGTGCGAATAATTTTTTTAAACACATGTATATATATGTTTGATTTCACCTAAATAGTACGAATAGCACATAATATATCTTTATTTGAAATCAAATAGAGATATATTATATGCTATTCATATTATTCAGGTGAAATCAAATAGATATATACATGAATTTTAAAAAAAAATTATTAGTTTTTCACTTATATTCATTTCCTTACTCGAAAATTGAAAACAAAGAAAACATTTAATCTTAAACATTAGCGAGCGTTTATATCGAATTAAATTTGGACAGAAAAAATAAACAAAGGAAAAGTATGATAAAAAAAAAGTAAGTGCTTGACACTTTCAAATTTGAAGACAATCACAAGGCAAATAATTCAACTGTTGGTCTTAAAGGTGGTGAGTAAAAATTTCAAATTTAAATTACAATTTATTAGCATGACTATAGAATTTAAGTTAGGATCCATTAATTAGATGACGTTATTATACAACTCAATAAATAAATTATTACCAAAAGAGAAAGGTCACAAATATTGAATAGGTTCATATGGTGAAATCATCTAGAAATATATATATATATATATATATATATATATATATGTGGTTTAAAACAAAATTATTAGTTTTAAACCCCTGTATATATATGTTGAATAGCATATGTACAATTACGATTAACCTGTTTAAATGAAATCAAATAAATATATATTTTATGCTATTCGTATTGTTCAGGTGAAATCAAATAGATATATACATGGATTTAAAGAAAAAAACTATTCATACACATGATCAATGAGAGATGAAAAAAATCATTTTGAAAAGGGATAATTGCAGAAACCTCCCCTGACTTTTATAGTAATAGCATTGACCTCCCCTATCAATTTTGAAATAGCACTGACCTCCCCTATCAAAAGTTGGAGGCAATTTAATAGGCAAAAGTGGGTCAATTTACTAAAGTACCCCTGACATGATTTAATTTTACCAAATGAATGTGATGAGTACTTTCATCAAACCCAACAAAACATTTGTTAATAAAAATTACACTAAATTAACTATTTCTGCATAGTTTAACTAATTAACTAAATAACTAATAATCTAATTAATTAATAACTAATTATCTAATTATCTAATTATCTAATTGTTAATAGTTATTAACTAATCAAACTATTTCTGCATAATTAAACTAATTAACTATTAACTAATTATCTAATTAATTAATTAACTAATTAACTAATTTTTGTTTATCTAATTAACTAATCTCTATTTATCTAATTAACTAATTAACTAATTAACTACCTAATTATCTAATTAATTAATTAACTAATTAACTAATTTTTGTTTATCTAATTAACTAATTATCTAATTAACTAAAGTTGTTGTCTATCCAAAACTAATAAACTATTTTCATGTTAAACTAATTAACTAATTAACTGCTTAACTAATTAACTAAAGCTATTGTCTATCCTAAACTAACAAACTATTTGCATGTTAAACTAATTAACTAATTAACTGCTTAACTAATTAACTAACTAATTATCCAATTAATTAATTAACTAATTTTTATCTATCTAATTAACTAATTATCTAATTATCTAATTAACTAATTAACTAAAACTGTTGTCTATCCGAAACTAACAAACTATTTGCATGTTAAACTAATTAACTAATTAACTAAAGCTGTTGTCTGTCCGAAACTAACAAACTATTTGCATGTTAAACTAATTAACTAATTAACTACTTAACTAATTAACTAACTAATTATCTAATTAACTAATTTCTGTTTATCTAATTAACTAATTAACTAATTATCTAATTAACTAAAGCTGTTGTCTATCCGAAACTAACAAATTATTTGCATGTTAAACTAATTAACTAATTAACTGCTTAACTAATTAACTAATTTCTATTTATCTAATTAACTAAAGCTATTGTTTGTCCGAAACTAACAAACTATTTGCATGTTAAACTAATTAACTAATTAACTGCTTAACTAATTAACAAATTATTTGCATGTTAAACTATATGCAGTACGCATTACCTATTTAAAACATCGGCTCTTTATAGGTGTTTTACTTTCAAACATCTAATTTATGATAAAAATATCAATGTTTGTAAGTAAAATTCAAAAAGTGTTACAAAAAATATCAATATTCTTACTTTCAAATATTTAATTTATGGCCTTATGCCCCTCCCTTTTTGTAAGAATATTACTGTAACACTTTTTGAATTTTACTTACAAACATTGATGTTTTTATCATAAATTAAATGTTTGAAAGTAAAATACCTATAAAGAGCCGATACTTTAAATAGGTAATGCATACTGCATATAGTTTAACATGCAAATAGTCTGTTAATTAGTTAGTTAGTTAATTAGTTGATTAGTTAAGCAATTAATTAGTTAATTAGTTTAACATGCAAATAGTTTGTTAGTTTCGGACAGACAACAGCTTTAGTTAATTAATTAATTAGTTAAGCAGTTAATTAGATAAATAGAAATTAGTTAATTAGTTAATTAATTAATTAGATAATTAGTTAATTAGTTAATAATTAATCAGATAATTAGTTAAGCAATTGTCAAACAAATAATAATTGTCAAGCAAGAAGAGGGCAAAATTGGAAGAAATTTCTTATCTCACTTCTACAAAAGCTGTCAGGGAGGTTTCTGCAACGAATTGTTACTGTTCAGGGAGGTGAATGCAATTTCAAAACCTAGAGGGGAGGTCAGTGCAAATATCAGAAATCTCAGGGGAGGTTTCTGCAATTATCCCTTTTGAAAAATATGAGAGATGAAAAAATTAATTTTGTGAAATGTAAGGGACGAAATAATTTATTTTGTAAAATGTTATGGACGAAAAAATTCATCTTGTGAAATATGAGGGATTATGAATAGGATTATGTAAAATTTGATTTGACAATTTTGCTCTTAAAAAATGATCACATGCAAGGTACGTGGTAGATTCCGGTTAAAAATTAGTCGAAACCTAAATAGGGATTAAATTTGATCAATGTGAATTTGTAAGGGATATAAAATTAAACTTTTAAAAGTAAGGGACGAAAAAAATCATCTTGTAAAATGTGACAGACGTTTTGAACAATTTTCCCATGCCATAATATTGCCTAGGCATAGCAACTGATTGTAAACTTACTATTAAGCAGTGTTCCAAGTTATCTTTTATTAAACTTGCACCATCTCATATTATGTTGCCACAGTCATTTTTTGTCAAGG